TTCCTAGGGAGAGCACTCGGGCATCTATATATTTTTACAGTGCCCCAAAGTGAGTCAGAAGATCAGACTAGTAGTGGGATCGCTGGCTCTTATGGGATGTTGAATCCATAGGAGCACTTTCCTGTTTATCGGAATAGTATTCACAGAAGCCCCAATATGGAAGCAGCCTGTCCATGAGTGGGTGCGTGGATAAAGGGAATGTGTTGTATATGCACAATAGAATACAAGAAAGTCTTTAAAAAGAATGAAACTCCATCATTTGTGACAAGGATGGAACTAGAGGATGTTGGGTCAAGTGGAATTATTTAGGTACAGGGAAAGAAACATTACAGGAGTGCCCCTCTGTATGGTCTTGAGAAAAGTTGGTCTCTCTGAAAGAGAGCGCGGAAAAGCGGTTTCTAAGGTTGGGGTGGGGAGACAGGTGCTCAAAGAGGGCGTGGTAATGGGATCCAGAGTTTCAGCTGGACTGGGGGAATAGTCCTAGTGAGCTGTTGTACAACATGGTGACCACTTTTAATATATATTTTAAAATTTCTAAAAAACGTTTTTAATGCTCTTATACAGTAAGAGCATAAATTGATGTGACTTCCATGCCAGTTAACTTAAGTCTTTCTGCAATGTCTAGATGGACCAAAACATTACAGAGTATCCAATACATATAATTATGTGTCAGTTAAAAATAAATGTAAAGCAAAGGGCAGGCAGTGTTGAGATCTACTGAGCTTAACAAACACTTCCACTTTAACCACAGTGGATAGTAGTAATCTGTATCCAGACACCACCACCCTAAACTCATAAGGGAAAAGAATATGATCAAATAGAAAAAAGAGAGTATGCAGACATTCAGGGCTCCTTTCCAGTTTTACTCTCATGGAGAAAAAAAACCATGGTCTTCATCTTTTTTAGGACTGTCAGGCAGCACAGAGGCAAAATCAAGGAAGGTGTAGGTAAAAAGGAAAGGGTGACCGAGGTCTATCCAGCGAGGAAGGCGGAGGACAGCTGAGAGCGGGACCCGTGGGGTAATAAGGCACTGTCTACTGATGAGCCGCGAGTAATATCAGAGCCACATTGCAGAATGTTGCCTGTTCAGTAATTGTACAAAGACTCCCTGGCCATTACAAAGCACTTTTCTTCTTGGCAGATTGAAGAATGCTTTCCCAACTAAATGTATCCCAGTAATATTCAGAGCTCAGCGCCAACATAATCATAAGTTGCCTTGTTATTACAGAGGTAGCAGGCCCCATTTAATAACATATTAAATGCATTATTCATTTATGTAACTCAGACCCAGGGACAGCTGCTGGGATGAAAATAGAACCATTCTGTAATGCAAAAAGCAGGTGTGTGCTTACCTGAGTAAATTAACTCTGTATTTCTGCACAATTTTCTTCTAGATTTCAGGGACGGGTGTGCTAAGGCTAATGCAATGCCATTTTCATCCGAGAAATAAAATGGTTTCAGAATGGTTTTTAATGAGCATTTTAAAAAATCACCACCAGTCTTCTCTGTGGCAGAATCCCAGGGGAATAGATCTGTGCCTTGGATTTAAGCAGAACTCCCTCTTGCTGCAGGATTCACGAAAGCCTGAGGGGATGTTTAGTCAGAACAGTGACAAACAAAAGGAATGCTCTGTAGCCATGATGCCAGCGGAGAGGGTGAGCCCAGGCTTCTGTACCTGCTCGCCAAGACTGAGTCCTAGGTGTTGGATGCTGAGTAATTAGCAGTCATCACCTGCCTTGGGTTCGCATAATGCTTCATCTCTAAAACATGCAAACCATTTCAGCTCGGCAGTTAAACTCATTGTGACACCATAATCACCCTGGATGGTGGTGTGGGTCATTTTTTGTTACCCTTGAAGTACCAAAATGGTACCATTCTCCAATGTCTGCGTTTCTTTCTTCTTTCTCCCATCAGCTCTTATTTTCTCTCCTAATGAGCATACACTCATGGTCAACAGTCCTTATTTTCTTTTAATCCGCATAAACACCTCGGAGGATTTTTTAATGGCATGATGTTCAGAATGCTCAGACATGACAGATCAGCATGGCCAGTGAGCTTAGTGGTAGAGCAGGTGTTTTTGGAGAGCACCTGCCCCCCAGTGGGAAGGGTGTTAGCATCTTAGCTGCTGTATTAAGGATAGCACCAGCAGAGCTTGGTGGATAACTGGGGTTCTCAGAGTGTGGTAACCATCTGCTCCGCAGGTGTTCAGCATTTAAACTAATGCAGCCATGCCAGGGGGGCCTTCTGAGTCCCAGTTTTGCATATTTGGACACAAGGAAGCCCTCACAGAGCTTAATGTTCTCATGGTCACACAGAAAGAAAACAGTGCAAAGCCAAGGATTCCTGAGAAGTAAATCAGAAAGAATCTTCTTGGAATTTCGAGGTGGGTCAGTCTTGTTCCATTGAGACCAGCACTGCAGTGTAGTACTTGGGAAAGTGCGTTCTAGAGGTAAATGGTCGAGGGTCCTCCCCACATAACCCTAAGAAAACAGGTTAACACCCATACTGCTTAGTTTCTTCATCTGAATATTAGCGAAAATAGCAATAGCTTCCTTATTATGGTTATTTGAAGATAAATGAGATAATTTATATGAAGAACTTAGCACCATGAGTGGAACATATTAAACATTCTCTAAATATGCCTTTGTATTGCTTTCTGTTGCAGTCAGGGAAATAGTCATAGAGAAGGCAGGAGGAAAGTTGTACCTCGTAGGCTGGGTAAGCTTTAGGGAGCTAATGGTGCATGCATGAGGAGATGAAAGCAGAAAGAGCCAAGAAAAGTACTTTCAGGAGGATTAGAAAGAGATTTGGCTGGAGCAGGATGAGCTTTGCGGGAGAAGGGATTCAGAAAACTAGAATGAAGTTAGTTTGAGGAGGGCTTTATGTGCAGGATTTGCAACTTCTCCTGAGGGCAGGGGAAAGCCAGGAAAGGTTGTAAACAGGAAGAGAGGTGATGATGCTATTAAATAAAAATAGCCAGTAACATTTCATCATCACTTGCTAAGAGATAAGGCAGTTTTAAATCAGCCCGTCTCTTAATCCACTCAGTCCTTGCACCTCCCAGGGGAGATGTGTGAAGTGTGACTGACCATGAAATGTCCACCTCCTTTGACTTTCTCAAAGCTGCTGTTAAGTAGTAGATCCCGACACTCAGGATCAGAAGAAAGAGCATCGCTGTGGATTGGAAACCTATCCATAGACCAAATCCACTCCACGGACGGAGTTGTAAATAAAGTTTTACTGGAAGCTTGCTTTACTAGGGCCGTGTCTACGTTCATGGTAGTGCTGCAGAGTTGAGTAGTTGAGACCACGCAGGCTACAAGGTAAAGATTTAATGTCTGACCCTTTGTATAAAACATTTGCCAATCTCTGGCCTAGAATAGTATGAAGTGGGCTTTTGAGTGCCTCCACTTTTACGTCTACCACTGTGTTTCCCCCAAAATAAGACCCAGCTAGAAAATAATCAGCCTTAAAATCTAGAGATCAAAAATTGTCAGCCCCAATTAGCCTGTCCTTGCCTTCCCTGCCTTACAGAGTGACCACTGAGCATGTGAATAGTGACGGCAGGTAAGGCGAGGACAGGATGATTGGGGCTGGCAGTTTTGATCTCTAATTTCAAAGCTGATTATTTTCTAACCAGGTCTTATTTTGGATCAAGAGGAAATTAACTCTAGGTGAGTGGATTTGGGAAATCAAATACGTAAATACATGAAGTGGTTACTGTGGATCTATAGGAAAGAAGATGAATAGGTAATATCAACCCTCACAATTCTTAAATTTTGGTCATCCTAAAGTCACGGATTCTAATTCTGTGTGAATCTGGTGAATTATATAAAATAGTTTTGTAGGCTATCTCATTTTTCTATTAAAGATAAAATAAGAAGTAATCAAAACAGTAGGAAGGATTTGCTCCATTCTTCACTGCAAAAGCTGAAGCCTCTTTCACATAACGTTTCAGTAGTTTGATCAGTACAGCCTCCCATGAAATGAGTAGAGACTCTCAAACCTGGCTAACATTGTTCTTGAAACACTATGCTGTTACTATAGTGCCTTGTAGATAAAATGTTGAGTAATATATCAGTGGTAATCTATTCTTTCTGTGAATTGCAAATCCCCCTTGCAATATATATAGTTGTCACAGTTGCCCCCTCATCTTTAATGCTGCATTCAGTAGTTTGAGCTACCCACAGTCAAGGCAGACTAAGAGTCTTGAGTGGACAATTCTAGAAATAAAATATTCATAAGTGTCAAGTCGGGTCCCAGAGTGATGAGATGAGATCTCGCCTAAGTTTGCATCGCAGCACTGATCTCACTTGCCTGATTTCACCTCTTTCCGCAGACATGGTGTCGTCTCACATCATCACAGGAAAGGTGAGGTCAGTAAGATAATGTGAAAGACGGACCCACATTCTCATCAATTGTGTTACAGTCTGTCGCCGTGATTGTTGTACTCTGAGCTATTTTGTTAATCCCTTAATCTGCCTAAATTATACATTAAACCTTACCATAGGTATGTATGTATAATAAAGTGCTTCGTTTTTATAGGATTCAGTACCATCAGCTGTTTCAGGAGTCCAGTGGGCATCTTGGAACCATTCCAGGAGACTTAAGAGAGACAATTGTATTACTCAGTCTAATCCTTAAATATCGTCTAAATGGTCCATTTACACCTCCGCAGCTAGATTTTATCTTAGTGAGGGTGCAGACAATGCGCTGTAATTCTGTGCAAGCCCCATGGCTCCAAAATGATTAGATAAATTGATTAGATGAATAAAAGAAGCCAGGGAAAATGCTAATAATAATAGATACAACCCGCCACCCTGGCACTCCCACTCCGTTGGATGCTTTTGCGAAGCAGCGGTCAGCCTCGCAGGAACATGAGCGGTGCGTGGTCGGGGGTCAGCGGTAGTCCTGGGGCAGAGGAGCAGGTCTGGTTCACAGACTTGGGGGTTGTCTGCATTAGAACGAGCTGGTTTACAGCTTGAGTTCTTCTCCTTTAGGTACAGAAAAGTGGTTTCCAACAACTGCACGGACGGAGTGAGAGAGCAGTACACCGCCAAACCGCAGAAGTGTCCGGGCAAGGCCCCTCGCGGGCTGCGGATCGTCACTGCGGACGGGAAGCTGATGGCGGAGCAAGGCCACAACGTCACCCTGCTCGTGCAGCTGGAAGAGGTAGGTAGGGCTGACTCCTCTAGTCCTCTCCTCTCTGAGGCCGCGGCTTTGCCTAATAAATTGTGGTTTTCTTGACATAGCCTCTTTAACTTTTTCCTTTAGATAGTTATTTTTGTTGGTCTGTTCTAGTTTTAATTGTATGTTTTCTGTTGTTACCATTCCACCTTCCTTGACGTGTTGCTTTAATTACTTTCATTTGCTGAAAGATGTTTTTTCTCCTGCTCAATCTCTTTCCTCTCTGGGTCCTCTTAGACTTAGCTTAGATTTTACCTCAGTGGCACGTTTAGCAAAGTATTTTCTCCAACTGCATTAATGGTATTGCCAGACAGTTCACACACACACACACACACACACACACACACAACCCATCTAGAGGATGCTAATGCTTTTGTCCTCTCTCAGCCTGAAGTTGTAGCTTTTCCAAAAGCAACAGATTAGACAAACTTACAGCACAAAGACCAATCAAAACATAACTGCGTATCATATCTTTAACACTTGCGACCTTGGACTTTGGTAGCACCTCAAGGATATCATTATGAGCATCAATTATTTTTTGCCAAATTATTGTTACGTAAAATTTCCAACTAGATGGTGGATGAGATGAGACTTTTTCTGTCTGTTCTGGAGGGTACACAGGCATTCTTGTCAGATGACCACATGAAGCGGGTGTCACTGAAGGGTAAACAGTTCATTAAATTGCTTCAAGTGTTAAAACCAAAGGTTCGTCCTTTAGCTGCATATGGTTACCGAAAGGGTGCCAGCACTGTCCTAGGCCCTGTGACTATAGAGGGATTTTAAATGTCAGTAGTGACACATTATAATTAAAATAGGATTAAAATATAAAATCTTGAATTCCATTTTCCTCTTCTGACAGTGGCTGTATCCCTACTATGCAGAAGAATCACCCAGAAAACATGTTAAAATACGGTGTTCTTTACTATATCCTCAAATATTTTTATTGAGTAAGTTGGAATAGCACCATATAATGTTCATGTTTACAGATTCACAAGTTATATATTGTCCTTTGAGCAAAACAAAAGCATTAGTTTACAGCAAACCTTGTGTGTGTGTGTGTGTGTGTGTGTGTGTGTGTGTGTGTGTGTGGTTAAAGAGAGAAAGAGAGGGAAACAAAAAAGAAAAAGGAAAAGGAAGAGAAGGGAGAGGATAGGAAAAAACTAAAGATTAGGGAGCTAAAACTCTTTTCTGGAAAGATGGGAGATTAATTGGAATGAGTCCATCATTTTAGGTGGCATTTCCTTTCAGGAACTTGGAAATTCATGCATCACTCTGTGCAATAGGTTCAGAATTCAGATTCCTAGTAGATGTCCAAGCAGAAAGGACTGGGTAAACAAAGGTAAGAGAAAAATGATAGAAACCAAAGAAAAGAAAACTAAGAGATGAAGGGACAGCACAGATGTAATTATGGTTCTAGGAGGAGGAGAGGAGGATTAGGAGCCAGAATCATTCTTGAAGAGATAATGGCTCATAATTTTCTAAAACTAATGAAAGATGTAGCATATAAACCCATAAATTCAGGAGAAACAGCAAAATCCAAAGAAGATAGATGCAAGGAAAAGTTAGACTTAGCTATCATATTGAAGCTACTAAAATCTAAAGACAAAGAAAAATTTTAAAAGCAGTTCAGAAGAAAATTAAATGACATTTTTGAAAAGCTATGCAAAACATAGATGAAATTGAAATAAAGCCATCTTCACAGAAACACTGAGGTTTGGTTCATATACACCAATTCCTGTGAAAGGAAATACAAAAGGTAATGCTTCAGGAATAAACAAAGTGACTCCAGAAAATGCACGCATGCGCGAGCCCACACACACACACACACACACACACACCCCACAGAGAAACACAGATTAATCAGTGGAAAGAAAAACAGGAAACAAGATACAGAGAATGATAATGATTAACAGTGGATAAATAATGATAACCAACTGTGGAATTTTAAGTACATGAAAGAGTTAAAAATATCAGAATAATAACATAGTATGTGGGTGGAATTAATGTGACTTAAGGTCCATGAAATGTCTGTAAAGAGACAAAAGTATTATGTTAGGCTGCAAAATAATGCGAATGTGTCCCTTAATAACTACTGTAACAAATACAAGAGTAGTGAGATAATGCTTAACTATCAAGTCACTGAAAACGAATTGGAATAATTTTAAAATGCTTTATTAATCCAAAGTAACTCAGTGAAAGGAGGAAAAGGAGCATAGTAAAGTTGAGACACATAGAAAGCAAGCATGACTATTGTAGGTATAAATTAAAATATCATCAATAAGTAAATTAAAAAGTAGCTATTTTAATGCCTTTTTCTTCAGTACTAGTGATTTTCCCACTGTCTTTCCCCTGAGCTACAGTCCCATTTTTTATTTTATTTTATTTTATCTTTTATTTTGAGACAGGGTCTTCCTTAGTTGCTAAGTTTCACAGGTTGAACTCATACTTGCAATCTTCCTGCCTCTGCCTCTTATAGAGCTCATATTACAGGAGTGTGCAATTATGCTTGGCTTTGATTTTTGTGTCTTGTTTAAGAAGTTTGTTTCTAACACAAGAGCATGAAGCTGTCATTCCACAAGCTTTCCCTGGCTTTCATATTAATGTCTATCGATAATTCTAGAATAAAATTATAAGTAATATATTCTATATATTTAGAAAATCTTACACATGATTATTTGTCCAGAAAACTACAACATACATGGAAAGAAAAAATTTTTAAAGACCTAAACTAAAGAAGGGGTATGCCTTGTAATGTAATGTAATATTGAATACTCAATATTATGAAACATGTCAATTTTCTCCACAGTGATCTCAATTCAAGTTCATCCCAATAAAAAGCCCCAGGATTGTCTGTGTTAACTTTTACAGTACAGTCATGAAAGTTATATTAAAATGCAAAAGCTCAAGAATAGCAGATGTAATTTTGAAGACAACTTACAAAGTTGGAGTCATCCTACATTACCAGATGTCAAGATTCATTATGTAGATCTCGTCATAAACAGTTGAGCAAGGATGGAAACACAGTCAAAACAGAGAGAGACAGACAGACAGACAGAGATAGAGACACGGAAAGACAGAGACAGAGAGACAGGAACAGAGAGAGACAGAGAGAGACAAACACAGAGAGAGAGAGAGCCAGAGAGAGAGACAGAGAATGAGGAAGTTTTCGATACAAGCGGTGCCACAATGAGTATCTGTTTGGGAAAACATGAGCCTTGACTTCACCTAACCCACAAAATAATTGTAGCTGGATTGTCAATGAAAGATAATTGTTAATTTCTAGGAGAAAATATCTTGCATTAGGTCAAGATTATTTTTAAAGATGAAACAAAACTCATTACATATAAGGAAAACATAAACAACTTTTGCACTTCAGAAGACACTAATTAGAAAATAAAAAAGCAGAAGAAAAAATACATTTGTAATGCAGAGTTTCACTCAAGAATTAGTAGCAGGAGTTATATGACTAGATCCTACAAATCAATAAGAAATATAATGACAACTCTATAGACAGTGCACAGCACAGATTCTCGGAGAACGATACCAAACAGCAAGTAGACACAGAATAATTCACAGCATCACTACCCATCAAGGGAATGCAATTTAAATTATTCCAAAATGTCACCACTGACCATCAGACTTATGATTTAACAGGATAATAATACCAAGGGGTGCTGTGAGCGTCGGGCAGCTGATCCGCTTCTTGTGCTATTTCGGGTGTGCATTGGTCCTGGCACGTTGGAGATCTGTTTGACATTGAGCCTTGTAACTGAGTGGACATACAGCCCGTGGCTCATATATTCCATGCCTAAGAACGTGTGGTACAGCTTCTCTTTCTGCGATTTAAGCTACTCATAATTAATGAGTAAGGGGCTGGGGATTTAGCTCAGCAGCACAGTGCCTGCCTGGCAAGTGCCAGGTCCTGAGTTCGATTCCTGTAACTGGAATAAAAACAAGAAAACAAAACAAAAAAAAAAAACAAAAAATAAATAAAATTAATGAGTAGCTTCTGAAAGTATCAAATGAGAAAGTCAAGAAAGAACCCTAAGTTTTTATAGCTTTATGACAGCATATTGTTACAGTTATGTATATTTATGTATATAGGAAAAAGTAGTGTATATATGGTTTGTGTCCATTTGTGGTGTCAGGCATCCAATGGGAGTTACTGGGAGTGTCCTCCACAGATGAGGGGAAACTATTAGGCTCATAGTAAATGCATGCAATGTATGTAAAATCATACGCATAACAGAACCACATACGAGATCTTTAAAAAGCCTTAAACTAGAAACTACCTAAATATGACTAATGAATAATTTATAGTATGCTTACAGAATGGGATCTATTATAATAATGAAAAAGAACTGAAGTTACCTGCATTAGGAATGAAGCCCATTCCTAACACTGAGCTAAAAAGAAAATCAGTCTGAAAAAAATACACATTGTTTGGTTCCATTTAATTAAGTGACAAAATTAAGCAACGTGCATTTATAGTGAAAGAAGTGAGAATAATTGCTACCTTTGAAGGAAGATTGACAGAGAGGATTCTGGAAATGTTGGCAATTTTTGATCAGTAGATATGGCTTGGGGTTGTATATTTAATGATTTGTACATTTACATGTATGTTTCATTCAATGAAAAGCTTACTTAAGATATTTTAATACTATACTTTGTATTAGATTGTATGGAAGGGTGAAAAAACTTTCTCAGGCTCTTAGGGTGAGTTTCATTTCCCTCACCAGTGCTCTGCCCTATTTTTATTTTACCTTATTTTTATGGTAAATGCAGTGATCCTTTTCCCAGAAATACAAGAAACCCAGTGATGACCCCCAAAGAGTGTTCTCTTTGGAAGTATGCTAGCACAGGACTTCTGTTATCATTGTATTTCTAAGAATACAACAGAGCAAGCTCTGAGACAGACACGTTTACCTGATCAGCTCCAAGCTTTGCACAAATGCCAGCGAACACCCTCTCGGACCAACAGAGAG